AGGTGCCGGAGATCTTGTTCATGAAAAGTTCGAGGGATCTTGGTTTGACGGCGCCATTTTCCTTTGAACATACGGCGTCGATGATCCGACTTTACTTCGAACACTGACCATTGAGAGGATCTGCGAAGGCCAACAACTTGATCGTACCGATGAAGAAGCACTTGCAGCGCCTGGTGGAATCGTTCCGTAGGAATGGACGTGAAGAAGCCGGACAGGTCTTGCGACACCAGGTGGATGTATTCATCGGGATCTGCCTTTGACAGCGATTCCCACAGCTGCTGGACAAGTTCTTGTACTGAAAGTTGACCTGCAATGTCGGGTAAAGTAGCTTTGGTAAGTTCAAATATAAGTGCGCCGAAGACCGTGAGGAAGGGAGCTGCCCACGTGCGAAAGAATGAAATGATGGGTCGTGCTTTCTGCCAGTCCTTGGTCGGCTTTGGAAGGATGCGTGCTGTGGGCAACGGTGCTTGAAGTCGAAGTCCCCATGCATATCGTTGACGTAGGAGAGAAGGTACCGTAGTTACCACTTCAGAGCGAAAAGATGCTGCAGATTCACGGCAAAGCGAGAAGACATCTCCCGAGCAGAAGGTCTTCCGCATCAGTATGGCAAACAGGGACGGACAGATCACATGTGCGCGGGAGGGAAAATGATCCGCAGGGATAACAACCCACGATGACAGAGAAGCCACGGTGCGCTGCAACGATGTCGATGACCAATAAGCACGATCTTGAAGGTTAGCTCGATGAGTGTCCATTAACTGAGTCAAAACCGGCTGCAGATCTGAAAGAAGACTGGAACCATGCACATGCCAGCGACGAGCAAGTTTACGAAGTTGCGTGGTGAAACGTTGATGTAATAAGTCGACATCACCGAAATACTGATCCTTCATTGATGCGGCCATGATTTCCATGTCAATGTCCGCATTGATGCGAGAAAACTCATCAACCATTACAGCATGACCATGTGCTCGGTGTATATGGTGATCATCGATGTCCAAACAGCGACACGGAAAGGATGTTTCAGGAGTCCATCTGCGCTGCCATGTGCGGTAGTTGTAGATCTTGTCGCCCAACGTGGCACTGCGAGTTTCCACCACCCGGATCTTTGGAAGGAAAAGAGAAGGGAACAAATCCCGATGAGAAGCAATCCAGCTTTGTAGCCATGTGCCAAGTAGAGCTTTCCAATTCCGGACATGTAGAGGCGGTAGGAGTAGTTGTGTCAAAGTGGTGGGTGGTTGCAGCCGTCGTTTGCGCAACACCTGGGCGAGGAGTTTCTGCGCCTTGGAGCGGAAGGGCTCGTTGACAAAGACGGCGAGCCGCAGAAAGTAGTACAGCTGAGTAGGAGGGAAAGCTGCCGACAGTAGGTCACCCATGGCTTGGAACGATGCTCCTGTATTGGATCCCAGCTGATAGAGAATAGAGTAATGGGCCTGAATGTCATCCAGCATGTCGGGCCGTAGTTGCCGTTGGAGTTCCGGATGTAGTCGTCGTCGAAAGCGTTTGTGCAAGCTGAGGGAGGTGGGAGACGACAACGAGTGACGTCGAAAATCAACGAGGTGTTCCCGGAAGCCCACCTTTCGCAAAAGTCTGTGTACCCAGGGTGCATTCAAATGCGGGCGTAGCAAGTATTGCCATTTACTTTCTTGGACCCAAACCGAGGAAACAGGAAGTTTGGTCTCGACCGGAACAGCACAGAAGAGCCAGTAAGTATTGGATCGCTTCCAGTAGTGAAGTGCGGGTTCGAAGAAGGCATGACGTCCACGAAGTAGTTGTAGAAATTTGCGACTGCGTGAGTGTTCACGTCGTAGAACATCCTGATCAGTCGCCCCAACGTAGTAGGGTGTGTGCCATGGGGAAAGTCGGATGTAGACGCACGGTTGTTGATGATGACCTGGATCGTGTATGAAGTCATAGAGGTCAGGAAATCGTGCCCGCAATGAGCGAAGATGTCGCGTGTCGGCAAAAGTGGAGTGCATGATTTCACACAAGAGAGAAGCCTTGTAGAAGTGAAGGACTTCAAAGAACGGCGGAAAGTAGCCATGATCTTGGGAAATGAGACGTTGTAAGAAACTGATCAATAAATAGGCAGCGCACCGACATCTATGAATCTCATACCTGTTGGCCACAGTGTGCTGAGAGTGTGACATAGCGTGATTCGGAATCTGAAGGGCAATCCGGACCACAACTAAGACTTCGAGAATGAGGCCCAACCACGGTAGTTGTGTGATTGATTCGTACTCATCAGTTGGTATCGACGGTGGTGGTAGTCCAGGGAAGCAGTATTGCCAGCACGTAGAGAACATGGTCAACGAGTGTAAAAAGTTGTCCAGAGACTGCCATTGTGCAACATCATCATAGATTCCACAGCGGCGAAGCTCATCCAACATGGTGAAAATGCAACCAATGAAATCTACCATAAGGCGGCGACATGGATACAAGCTGCACAGACAATCACACACAAGGCAATGCAAGAACGATCAAGCACAAGATCAAACTGGTGCAACGCAGAAAGATGACGGACGAGTTTTAACCTTGACTCATCCGTGACATGGTTGCCGCTCCGGGCTCATAAGAGAACGAAGGTCGTTAAGATGCCTGCTCATCCGCTGAGTAGGCGAGCGGTCACGATGAGGTGACTCAATGCCTTCTCAGTGAGCTTGGTAAGATAGCCGGGCTCCAGTCCCCACGAAGCCGCCATCGCCCCGAGAGTGGGTGCGTCGCCTTTCGGCATGCGTTGACGCGCTTGAAGGAGCTGCGTCGCCATGGAATCTAATGACTTGTTGCCGTTGAGCCGGGACGGGTGATTGGCCCACTTGACCAGTGACGCCAAAGTCGTGGTTGTGGGCGATTGCTTGAGATAAAGGCGAGGCTGGTCACTGGTCCATGTGTAGTACTTGACAACTTCATCCGGCGTGCTGTGCATGGTGAGCAATTGTGACGCCGCCGGCTTGGACGGCGGTGACGACACTCCGTGAAGAGACTGAATGATCCGGGGTTGCACCGCGCTATCAAACGACTTGCCATCAAGGGCCGCTGCGCTGGCTGTAGGAAGGGAGCTGGCAGGTGACGAGGATGGTGTGTGGTTGACCGGTGGCGGTGTAACCAACTCTGCATCATCTTTCTGGCTTGCCATCGTGGGAGAGGTCGAAGCGCGCAGCGATGCTGAATACTGAGCCTGGAGCAGCTCATGCGCACGATTTAGATCATTGTACTTCTTGACCATGTCATCTGTCTGGGTGGAAGGTGTGAGAGAAGCGTGGTGTTGCTGAAGAAATTGAAGTACCAAGCTGGCCAAATGGTCATGAACCTTGATCCGCTGATTGAAGTCATCGATGTTGAGACCCAGCGAGTTGGCAAGGTCCTTTTCCAGGGTGAGCAGGTTGATCGACTGTGATCGTCGTAGTAGTTTGGAACAGGTACTCCAAAGTAAGGCCTCGGTGCGAGTGCGAAAGCCTTCCCACGTCACGAATCTGCCGTGAGCGAACGGTCGGAGTAGCCAGTTGGTGAGGCCCCCATGGATAACCTGAACCAGGCGAACGTCCCGAATATCCATGCCTGACATGTCGCGCAGGTTGCCATGCGGAGTGTTGGCAACGGTCATGGGCAGGCTAAAGTTGTAGAGCTGATTGACATCAAACATGCCATCTCCAGGTGTCCAGTCAGGCGAAGGTGTAAGCCAGGCTTTCTGAGGGCGAACCGGTAGAGCCGCAGGAGGTCCAGGTGGCGGTGTAGGTTGGGGAGTAGTGACCGGTGGTGGCATCACGGGTGGCATGAACTTCGTTGGCGTGGGGTCTGGAGGGATCGGCATCATGTAGTTGATCGCTGGGTGTTGGAATTGCTGTGTGGGGCTGTGAGTCGATTGAAAATTGGTGGGCATCATCGGGAAATTGTTGGCAGAGTTGTAGCCGGAATTGTGTTGCCAAGATACCAGGTTGTTCCAATCCATGCCCTCCGAGACCTGGTTGTCATTGTGTTCACGTCGGCGTGCTTTGCGAGCTTGAGGGGAAGGACTCCGATCACGTCTGCGCCGAGTCCTAGATCTGTCACGATCATCACGTCGAGACATGATGGCGCAACAAACGCAAAACCGCAACTCCACAATCTTGAGAGGAACGAGTCCGACAAAATGCAAGTCAATGCAAGTTCAAGTCAGCAGCCATCAGCAGCCCTAGTGAGACGTCTCTATGATCTGACGGCTGTCTTCCCTTTAGTGAAACCTCGTTCCTGGTTAAATGTGAAATTCCGCTGTTCTATGATAAGTACGTTGAGGTCAAATTTTCCGACAGAGCCGGCCCGGGGTCACACAATGGGTACACCCGAGGATTCCCCACGAATGGGGTGTACACACTTGAACTCCAGATGGAGAGTGCTAATCTTTCGAGTACAACTGATGAGTTTCGAGTACAACTGATGAGTCTCGAGTACAACTGATGAGTCTCGAGTAAGTGAAGGTTCGGCTTGCCGTCACATGGTTTCCGTCTAGCTGCGAAACCGTTACAGGGTTCAACATGAAGCACACACAGCGAGAGAAACAACGGGCCAAATGGACATTGCACAACCGATGCAGGTACACAATCATTGCACAACCGATGCAGGTACACAATCCAGCGTCCCGGATTGCATCACACTTCTCATCAGGCGTCTTCGTTGGCCTGAGTCCTGATGAGAAGCCTCAAGCCCCCTGCTGGAAAATCGAAAGAGTGGTGACAGGGCATTCTGTCACTCCGCACACACACACACACACGCACAGACATGTTCTTTCCCCAGAAGCATGCTATTATGACGGCAATTCGACAAGGAACACGAGGGACGGGCTCAAGCCAAACAAATTCCAAACCCTGAACACAAATCGGAGCCGAGTGAAATTCCTACTTTCGGTTTTCCGCAACGTTTTTCCCTCACATCAGTGGAGCCGCAAAAAAAAAGCATCTGAGCCGCTCAAAACACACAGGACAGATCCCAGAGACGTCGCTCAAAAATCCAACTATCCCAGAGAGGTCCTTTCATCTTCAGGTAGAAGACCTTGGACTCGCTGCTGCCCGCCTTTGGGATGAGCTCGTCGAAGAGAATCTTCAGCACCTCCCGGCACTTGCCATTCAGCTCGGCCTCCACCTGAGACTTGTGGACTCCCCGGCGTTTCCTTCCTAGTGGGTTTGAGCATTGACCTTTTGAACCAACTTGAACATGTCCCCTTGGCTCTAAATGTCGTGAAGGCTCCCGTGAAGTTGTGCTTCTACAGTTGCTTAAAGGGAAAACCACAGAAAGACCGCCATTTTCGGAGTCCCATGATTTTGGCACACACACCTATCCCCTGAGTTGCACTAAACAACTCAAGCGAGCTCCCTTTTGGCGGGGCGAGAAGGGCCGATGAGCCAGACCCCGGTTGAAAGGCGGTTAGCCCACGAGCCACCTGTCAGGTCCCTTCAAGGTTCCCTTTGATTCTTTGGGGCTTGATCAAGAGGTCCGTGATGGGATGACCACTGCTTGGAAAACCGCCAAGAAGATGATACATTCCCACAAAACGGGAAAACTTTGACCCACGGTCATCCGGGGGGGGGGAAATGGAGCATTGCTCCACCCCCCCTGTTGCAGGATCAATCAGAGTCTCAGACTTCAAGCGGATCCCACGGCTCGCCTTCTCGCGATATCTCTGCACCAGCTCCAAGATGGCTGCGCCCTTGGAAGCCGCCGCCTCCCGCTTCTCCAGGGTGTTCACCTCAAAGCCCACACGCGTGCCCGACGTCCCAAGGGAACCTGTGTCCCAACCAAATGGCGAGGAAAAAGCCTGGCCAACCTGGGCAAACAATGGCAAACAACCTGTTGCCCCGAAGAACCTCTTAGAACGCGCGAGAAAACCGAACAAAGCGCCGAAGACGACGGCGCCCCGGGCTCCGACTTCTCACTTCCAAAGGCCGCCGCGGCGCCGCGCGCCACGCCTGGCGCCGGGAGCCCACCGCCTGCTTGAAGGCCACGGAGAAGAGGTTCCGCTCGTCCAGGTTCAGCTCCGTGCCTCGAGGCATCGTGAGCCCCGGAAGTTGCCCCTTCGTGACCCGCGAAAAGCAGGGTGCCCTCTCGAAATAAGGACAGACTCGCTGTCGTTCGAGGGGTTTTCGGAATGAAGCACCTGGGATGTGGTCAAACTGGGGCCTCCACTTTGGCTGAACCAACCTCCAAAGGAAGTGGACGTCGCACCTTTTTCGAGATAATGCTAGAAGCCTTCCTGGTGGTAGAATTTGGATAAAACCCGCTTGAGGACCCATGAGAGTGATGGCCGGCCAGCGAGCTGCTGCGCCTTGCCCAAAAAGCGCTTAACACTTGGCTGGTTCATACGTGTTGCCCCGCTCCCCAAAAAAAACAAATTAAATGCCAAATGCATATTCTTGGTGGATGGTCCCTACTCCAGCGCTGCTTTCACAGTCCCTTGTGATTGTTGGTGATCTGCCGATGTTGGGGAGGCTCTGAGCAGAGAACAAAGGTTCTTCGCTCAAAACATTTGCTCACCCGACCCTAGCTTCACTGCCTCGTGAGGCAAAAGCGCCAGTTGGAAGCACCATGCGCAGCTCGCATAGAATGTGTCAGGTTGTGAAAAGAAGTTTTGAAAATACATCTATCAAAGTGTTTGCAAACTACACGGGTACACAAGCTCGTGGAAAACTGTTTGTCAGATTCTTGAAGGTGAATCTTGAATCCAAGGGCAAAAAACAAACTTAATTCCAAGTTGCTCGGGCCTTCAAACCGTACGTTCCCCAAAAGATGCATCTGCCCATCAAACAGAGCACCCCGGGAGATGCCGGTCCTAGGTTATCACTAAGTAGCCAATCTTGATCGGTATTGTTGCCGATGGTTCGATCCTGCCTGTCTGTGGCAATGACACGCACAACTGAAATTGCTAACCTGTCACGTACAGCTGAGCAAATTATCATATTCAACAAAGCAACTTCAGAATTATGTATGTGTATGTGTTTCCAGAAAAGAAACAAAAGAAGAAGAAACAATAAAGAAACATACCTATATATATATATATACAGATATGCGTTTTTGGTAGAAATAGCTCTTGGAGCGCATTTCCTGCGTTCATCCTTCTGCATCCTGCACCATTCCCGGGCCCACTGGCCCGCTGAGGCCAGGGCCAATGAGCGCCACCCGCTTCATGTACCTTAGGCAAAAGTCTGCTCGAGTCTGAGACTACTTTGGCACGCTCAAAGGAATCCGTTGTGTCTGGCTCTGTCCCATTTTCTTTTTCGGACCCCTGGAGTCTCACGTGTTGTCCAATCTAGCTCTGCCCCTTTTTTCAGGACCCCAAGGGGTGCTTGTTGCCGGGGCAAAGAGGGGAAGCCATGAACAAGGTTTCCTGGCAAGGAGACGGGGAATTGTGTGGGCATCTAGACATGGCGAACCTTTCTTTCAGAAAGCCCCGAAACCAGGCAGGAACCCCACCGGGGTCCGGATTTCAACAAAAGCGAAGCACGAGAGAATCCGGGCAAGGTGCAAATGAGCAGTACTTTTGACATGTTTATGCTCTGTGTGG